TATAAGACTTGTCAAAAACATGTCTTTTGTTTTTTTTTTCAATTAAAGGATTTTATCAAAAGTCTGGACTTTTTACTAACTATTTGATTTAACCTTTTAGTGAATGGGTAGGGGTACAAGTACCCCTTACTCATTAACAAGGGAGGGAGCGACATCTGGGTGCCGTCTTAATTAAAGGGGTACCCTGATGCAAATAAGCCCCCTTGCCCGCAGACCCCCACAACCACCGCGTCAGGGTTGTGGGGACGAGGCCCTTGTTCCCATCGACACCGAGGGCATGTGGCCTGGTGTGGGAGGAAGGGGGGTCGCTTGCTCGTCCCCCCCCCCCTTTCCGGCCCTGCCAGGCCTATGCTCGGATCAAGGGTCTGGTATGGAATTTTAGGGGGACTCCATGTCCTCCGTTTCCTCCCTAAAAGTCCTACCTTCAAATTCCTACCATACCTTAGGGGCCTGGTATGACTTTAAGGGGAACCCCACACACTTCTTTTTGGTTTTTTTACTTGGGGTTCTTCCTCACTATTCCACTATTCCTACCAGACCTTCAGGGCCTGGTATGACTCACACTTTTTTTTTTACACAGGGTCCCTCCTAAATATTCCTACCAAACCTTAAGGGTCTGGTAGGACTTTTAGGAGGAACCCTGAGCTTTTTTTTTTTTTTTTTTTTTTTAATGGTCCTTCCTAACATTTCTACCAGACCTAAAGGGTCTGGTATTGTTTGGGAGGGGGAATTGCACACTTTAAGAGTAAAACAATGTCAGTTTTGCTGCAGCAGGTTCTAAACATTGTACATATCCGCCACTTCACAGGCAGGGTAAGGGGACCCCCAGGTACGATATTTGAAGGAATTTTTCATTTTTATTCTTACCCTTTAAGTGATGTTAAAATCACTGTTCCTTTAAAAACTCTTTTTTTGTTTCTTTTTTCATTGATTACTGTCCCCCAGAGCAGTACCTGGACCCCCATACACCTTTTATGGTCAATAACTTGCATATAAGCACTCTTAAAGGGGGCAATCATTTTCAAAAGTTCGACCCCCATTGACTTGCATTAGGCTCGAGTTTGTATTTGAACTTTTCGGCCGTTTGGGTGTTCCAATACGAACCGAACACGGGGGTGTTCGGCCCATCACTAATCTTGAGCCACTTTCTGATGGTATGAATGAATGAAAGTGTTTTCATATGCAGCCCTAAAAGCTCAATAAAGTCTCTCCAGAAGTGTCAGGACCGCAGAATGAAAAAAATAATAAATAAATATATATATATACAGTACATATATATATGTACTGTATGTACTGTATATATCAATTCATTTATACTAAAAGAAAGCTTGTTTTCAACCTTGACACTATCATTATTGGTGTGCAACTTTGAAGAGAGTCTCTCCAAAGTTATATGAAAGCAGAGACTTGGGAGCTGAATTGAGAGAGAGCGCTGCACGAGCGCTGAGGAGATCAGAGTCGCTGGCTGTTAAAACAATGCAAGCAGCCATCCCCATCCCAGTGCCTTAATGGTTTGATAGTAATGGCTCACAGAATATGAAGACAGAAAACAAATATAATGGGTTTAATTATCTCCTGAGTGTCTATACAGCTACACATAATTAACATAGTCAAACAAACGGACAACAGACCTTAAGAAGTTAAAAAGGCGTCT